TACAATACCTAAAGCCACTAATACTCTAGCATTTCGGGCAAGGTGTGGGGGGAAAAAAACAGACTAAAACTTAATAGTAATCGGGATTAGGTATAAATTGTGTTGAAAGAAGGAATAAAAAATACAAAAAGGGGGTTAACATAGCATAAATCAGCAATTGCACATGTTGGTGAACAGCGTTGTTTAAAAAATAGCAAGACATGGGTTGACATTTAGGAGGTAAGTTAGGTTACATGGAGTTAATTAGGCAGTACTTGGTTTAACTCTTAAACTGGTGGAGAGAGGTACAGCCGTTGACATGATTCGGGAGGTCATTCCACATTCTGGGTCCCTTGATTTGTAGAGCACTTCTAGTTTGGTTACACACAGCCAAATTGAGTAACAGGAAGAGGTCTTGGACACAAATTTGTTCCATGCTAAATGTAGAGGAATCAGCTGAGTATTCCTCAAATAAAATAAGTTGCCTCAGCTTATAAGGTAAATAAAATAAGCATTTCTCAAATAAGTAGCTGCCTCACTGCTACATAGCCTTCCCGGCATGGTGCCTTCTTTTGATAATTACTTGTTCCACACCCAAATTGTATAACAGGAAGAGGTTTTGGACCCCTACTTCCCTCTCTCTTTTTTAATAATCTATATAGTCATAATTATAGCTTTAAGTATTCAATGAATAAAGTTTTTGACATTTTTACCCTTTTCCTTACCTAACATCATTTGTGCAGCATATTTTTATTTTATGTCTCACCCAGATTTAATTTAAAAATAAAACCAAACTAAATAAATTAGAAATGGGTATGTATAGCTAAGGTACACCCTTACTACTAGGTGAACAGGGGCATTTGGTGATAGTAAATGATCCCATCAGGCAGGGCTCATCACCTTCTCTCATATTTCATGTTCACCAGTGTTTATTTACTTAATAACTACTGGTATAATATCTTGCTATTATAAAACTAATTCTATTATCATCAAACACATATTTACTTCAAGTTTCAAGCAGAGAATGCATATATAACTAACACGAAGGATTACTCTCCACTAGATTCACCAGCTATAATGTTTTGGTCATGTTCCAATATCATAAATCGATCCCAGTGTTATGTAGTAGAGAAAAAATGACTTATATCCAGTTTACGTAAAGCTACGAGTGGTCGAAACCACACTTAAATCCCGGAATGAACTTACGAAGATTTTTCCACTTAGGGTAGCTCTTTGAATACGGACGTAGCCGCCACGAAGGCGCTAAGAAGGAATTCGTTCTTAGCTAAGAGGAAAAACCTTCGTAAGTACCTTCCTGAATCCGGCCCCTGGTTGATCAGTCCGGCTACCAGGAGGCCTGGTCGACGACCGGGCCGCGGGGACGCTAAGCCCCGGAAGCACCTCAAGGTAACCTCAAGGTAAGGTGGCTACATGGAGGTGGAGTATAAAATTTCAGATGGGCTGCGGTTTGTTGTCTCTGAACTCTTTTCTTTTGGAGCAGCCTAGTACTCTGCCCACCTGTGGTTTATGCAAGTATATCGTACATTCGAAGCTCGCGTTTTCCTTAGATAAGTGAATTGGTTTGATGAAATTGAACTGTGATCTGTGACCACCAAGTGCTGTCGGGTCGTTGGGGATATAGCCTCGTTGTTGTTGTTGTTATAGATTCAGCTACTCGGAACAAGTTCCAAGTAGCACGGGCTATGGTGCAACCCGTCCTCGACTCAAGTCCATTACATACAGCGGTCAACCCCACAGACGCATTCATAAATTTTAATATGCTGTTCATTCAAAACGGGAATTTTCTCAAGTATAAATCAATATTATAATATATTAACATATTGTGTATATATAGGCATAGGATAGGTTAGGTTAGGTGTTTAGGTTCTGTTGGCGATTATTTGTATTTGTAGTACGTGGGTGAAGCATTTATAGCGTTGTGATTCGAACAAAATTAGTCAGTGAAGCACTTGTTCCGGATATGTTCGAACGTCAGCAGTTGTGAGTCGTGTGTAAACCGCTTTTCATTCATAAACAGGGGGTTTGGCGGGTGCGTGGAATCACTTTTGGATCTTTGTTTGGAGGACGGGCTGTATGGTGAGCCCGTAGTGAACTTACCTGACACAGGAGCGGTGCGTGGACAGTATGGTATCGTAGCGGGACGCGGGGGTACTAGTCATGATATCAAAGGTGTCGCCACCAATCAGAGGAGTTGACCGAAAACGCGGGAGAGGCCGATGGCTGTGATTGGTCAACAGGGGATGACGTCACAGAATCCATGAGGCCGCCCCAAGCGCCCAGGAGCCCCATTCGGCCACCAGACTCCGGTAGGGGAACCACGCTGTGCCCTCGAGCTCCAGGCCAGCCAGTTTCACCCAAGTCTGGCGGTACAGTACCATTTGTGACCAAGAAACAAGCCAGATACCAAATCCCCGGTGAACTTCTCCGGTGCAATTGGATTTTACATCCTACTGGAAGAAAGTTACTTGCGACACACGACGGTTCAAGAACAAGCCTGACCACATGTGTTGTAAGATGACTAGTAGTGTGTATGTAGTAGTATATACTACTACAACTACCTGAAGTGGAGAGACACGTACGATTTCATGGGAAATTATCGAGTAACCAAGTCAGTGGGGAACAGTGTCTTGTCGTGTATCTTGAGTCACAGTGGTAAGACTCATTGTCCACGTGGGAGTCTACGGGGAAGTGATTGTCCATCCAGCAGTGAAGCATCTTGGGGGACAATCAAGTGGGAAATATCCCAAGAAGCAGTGGGAAAGGGATTTGACGATTCTTAATCGAGTGGTGGTTTGCTATATGTGGGGCGGTTTGCTATATGTGCTATATGAAAATCGTCTCAAGGTGATTCAAATCCAAGGTGATTGTGGAAGTGTTAAACTGTCACCTCACGGAGTGACAGCACTTAACCTTCCAAGGGTTACACACAGAAATCACAATAGCGTGATGCATCAAATGAACAAAATCCACAAAGATCAGGATCAGGATTCGAACTTACGTCCAAGAGCATCCCAGATGCTCCATTAATCGACTGCGCTACGACATGGGTAAACTTTCAAGTGTCTAGTTACTAGTGAGTGACCGACAACGTATGTGTAGATGAGCAATAAATATTATTAAACACATTTGAGATATGGGATTGTTAAACAATTGTTACAGGAAGTGTTGACACGATAAGTTATCTTGAGGTTATCTTGAGATGATTTCGGGGCTTTAGTGTCCCCGCGGCCCGGTCCTCGACCAGGCCTCCACCCGCAGGAAGCAGCCCGTGACAGCTGACTAACACCCAGGTACCTATTTTACTGCTAGGTAACAGGGGCATAGGATGAAAGAAACTCTGCCCAGTGTTTCTCGCCGGCGCCCGGGACCGAACCCGGGACCACAGGATCACAAGTCCAGTGTGCTGTCCGCTCGTCCAACCGGCTCCAAGTGGTGTAATTACATTAATATGTAATTAATATGTAACTGGTGTAATTATATTAATATTATATTATTATTGTGTGATTATTTCATTGTGTGTTGTGGTGTTAAGTGACACCTCGGTATTGTTTCGTGTGTGTGATAAACAATAATTAGTGTGTTAATTGTTACAATTATTGAAGCGTGGTTAACGTAACTACTTGATTATTAACTGACAGAGTGATATAACTTAATTGTGGCTAATTGGTTGTCTTTGCCTGTTAACTGTCTGAGTGACATTGAGTGATAACGTAAAGTGATTAATTAACTAATTGATTGTTAACTGTCTGAGTGACAGTGTGGTAATGTAAAGTGGTGAATTAATTATCTTTGATTGTTGACTGAGAGACAGAGTGATTTAACGTAAATTGATTGTTGATTAATTCATTGTGATTTAATGTCTTGGTGACATTGTTTAAGTAAAGTAATTTTTTGTTAAGCTCTGGCTCTTTGGTCCCGCCTCTCAGCCGTCAATCAACAGGTGTACAGGTTCCTGAGCCTACTGGGCTCTATCATATCTACACTTGAAACTGTGTATGGAGTCAGCCTCCACCACATCACTGCCTAATGCATTCCATTTGTCTACTACTCTGACACTAAAAAAAATCTTTCTAATGTCTCTATGGCTCATTTGGGTACTCAATTTCCACCTGTGTCCCCCTAGTGCGTGTGCCCCTTGTGTTAAATAGTCTGTCTTAATCTACCCTATCAGTTCCTCTGAGAATCTTGTATGTAGTGATCATGTCCCCCCTAAATCTTCTGCCTCCCAGTGACGTGAGGTTTAATTCCAGTAGTCTCTCCTCGTAGCTCATACCCCTCAGTTCGGGTACCAGTCTCGTGGCAAATCTTTGAATCTTTTCCAGTTTTCATTTATATGTGTTAATGTGTTAATTTTATTATCTTATCTGATGTGTTAATTTTATCTTAAGTGTTAATTTTACTTGTTGAAGTGTTTTGCTACTGCCAATGGCGAGTGCAGTAATTGCCAAGAGTGTCCACGAAGTGTTCAGGTTAGTTCACTTTTGTTCATGACCTGTCAAGTGGGTCGAGACTGTTGTGTGTCTCTAACACCTGTCAGAGTAGTGGGAACGGCTTCCTGCTGCGAGCAGGTGTTTTGACAGTTGTTGAGGTAACATTCTTGAGTAACGTAACTCATGTGCGTCACTGTGTCTTAGTAAGTTGTTGCAAACAACTTTTTTTTTTAACTAAAACACGTGCCTTTGATGTCATTCCTCATTCTACAGTACTGCACCCCCCCCCCCCATGTTTCATCACTTGCTTTTAACATTGTCGTTAATTTGAGTTGGCTCAGGAACCAGCCCAGAGCCTCCGAAACTGAATATCAAATTCGGTGTGAGGACCCATCCGCTACCTGCTAGATTTGCTTGCAAGCAAGATGCACAGAGAACCGCCTGAGTGTGGAAGGTCTGGTATTGCTGGTGGATTACAAGACCGCCCAGTCCTCCACCTGATGTACTTAGATCTTTGGCGTCCTGCTCACGCCTCCGGAATGTACTCATTTATTTGTCGATGGCAAACATTCAAATCCACATCCCAATAAATAGGTCGGTCACAGGGAGGTCCACAGGGTGGTCCACAGAGCCCTCCACAGGGAGGTCCACAGGGTGGTCCACAGGGAGGTCCACAGGGAGGTCCACAGGGTGGTCCACAGGGCCCTCCACAGGGTGGTCCACAGGGCCCTCCACAGGGTGGTCCACAGGGCCCTCCACAGGGTGGTCCATAGGGCCTTCCACAGGGTGGTCCACAGAGCCCTCCACAGGGTCGTCCACAGGGCCCTCCACAGGGTCGTCCACAGGGCCCTCCACAGCGTCGTCCACAGGGCCGTCCACAGGGTGGTCCACAGGGCCCTCCACAGGGTCGTCCACAGGGCCCTCCACAGGGTGGTCCACAGGGTGGTCCACAGGGTGGTCCACAGGGCCCTCCACAGAGAGGTCCACAGGGCCCTCCACAGAGAGGTCCACAGGGCCCTCCACAGCGTCGTCCACAGGGCCCTCCACAGGGCCCTTCACAGGGAGGTCCACAGGGCCCTCCACAGCGTCGTCCACAGGGCCGTCCACAGGGAGGTCTACAGGGTGGTCCACAGGGTCGTCCACAGGGCCCTCCACAGGGTGGTCCACAGGGCCCTCCACAGGGTGGTCCACAGGGCCCTCCACAGGGTGGTCCACAGGGCCCTCCACAGGGTGGTCCACAGGGCCCTCCACAGGGTGGTCTACAGATGAAGGGTGACTCCTGCTGACCCTTAACATCTGCTAACTTGCAACGTCCCGAGTTCGTAATCTAGACGAGCTTCGCAGACCTGGTGGTGGCTAGGTCGGATTTAGGCCTGTTGAGCCGACCCATTCTTGTTTAAACTTCGCCATTGAAAGAAACTCTTGGATTGGTGCCATACATCACTTCACTCTGGTCATCATCCCATTCGTCTACCTCTTCAAGACATTCCCTGGTATAGTGCCCTTCTTCTCCGTCTGGGTGATGGACTACGGTGGTTCCGTGGGGGATATGGTAGCGCTCATTAGGCGCCGCAAACTTTTACGTTATCACGTAAACACACGTTAACGTAAACACACAAACACACGTTATCTAATTATTCCAACAAGGGGTTTCCTCCATTTTTCTCGATGTCAGTGCAGATTTCAGACATTCCCGTTCCCAAATTTGTCTAATTTCACATCCATACCTTCTGAGAGGCTGTGCAGTGACCCGTCGTGCCCTGTGCAAGAGACATTCCCTCGACCGGAAGGGCTAGTGGCCAGCGATGGTCTCGGATATATCATGGTGGATACCCTCGCTCTCTCGCATCTTCACTGGATCCAATTTACTGTTGGCAATATGCTCAGCTAATTTTTTTGTATCGTACAAATCTTGGCCGAAGCTCCTGACAGCCATCTGTGCAACCGGTCAAAGAGATACATTCTTGTAGGCCTGATACGCCTTAGAGTTGAACTCTCTCCACCTATCAATCGAGTTCTCCCTCGGGTTGTCGGGTAAGCTTGGGTAAACATCATCTTGAGGTTATCTTGAGATGATTTCGGGGCTTTAGTGTCCCCGCGGCCCGGTCGATCAGGCTTCCACCCCCAGGAAGCAGCCCGTGACAGCTGACTAACACCCAGGTGCCTATTTTACTGCTAGGTAACAGGGGCATAGGATGAAAGAAACTCTGCCCATTGTTTCTCGCCGGCGTCTGGGATCGAACCTGGGACCACAGGATCACAAGTCCAGTGTGCTGTCCGCTCGGCCGACCGGCTCCCATGGCCAAGTCCAATACCTCCTTTTCCCCAAAGTGTCGCTCCAGCTTCCTCATCATCATTCGTGTGTAATCTATAGATGGATCCCGGTCTGATAGGCGGTTGTAAATATCACAGGCCTGACCCTTCAAACACCAACCCAACTCTATCAGAGATGTAGACCCTGACCAGTACTTTTCAAAATGCAAAAATCGACGAGTCCAACTTTCCGTCAGAGTTCAACTCCCGGGGCTGAAGTCTGAAAAGGATTACTTCGGCTGTCGACGACTTGACGGTCACCAAGACTGCAGTCATCTGAATCAGAGTCATGCGAACTGATTGGGGATCATAGACGGAGCAGCCTTCTAGTCGCTTGAGCCGGCCGGTGAGGAGAAGAACCGGTGAGGGAAGAACCATGTGTGCCCAGCACCTAGTTAGTCCCAGGACTAGGGACTAACTAGTCCCAGGACTCAGTCTAACTAGGACTGAGGGGTGCCCAGAGTCGTGGCACTCTGGGTCCGGGCAGTCGAGGACCCTACTTGGCGATGCCGGCCAGCGACCCGACAAGAAATCGTGTCATCTTCATCGCTTGACTTTGAAGGTTATCGGCGTCTAGCAAACGAACAGGGGTCAGATTCACGATGCAGTTATGCAAGTACTTACGAACGTGTACATCTTTCCTCAATCTTTGACGGCTTTGGTTACATTTATTAAACAGTTTTCATGCATGAAAACTTCAAAATCAACTGTTGTTATCGGTATAAACAGCCTCCTGGTGCTTCGGAGCTCATTAACGGTTATATAATTGTAAACAAAGCCGCCAAAGATTGAAAAAAGATGAACAGGTTCGTAAGTGCTTACGTAACTGCTTCATTAATCTGGGTCAGGAGCCGTGCGCATGCGTTTTTTCCCCCGTCCATATTCTGGGACATTTCAGAAGACACTGCGGTCAAGAAGACGCATGTGACTCGAAAACGGTGAATGTCGTAAATATTGTCGTCCATGATCATGCGCGCATGTTTCGCGCTCACACTGCGTCTAGCCAATGCGTCGGATACCCCAGGGAGGGTGTCCGACTCAGGTTACCTGAGTATTGGATCTCTCAACTCCTCATGGGAGACATCTCCCGTCACGCAGGGTGCAGTCGCACCTCCACAGATCTCCAATATCACCTATTGATATTGGTAATGGCTCAAAAGGGCCACCACTTACGGGCTATTCATGCCCGTGCTACCTTTTGGCTGGCTTAATCTTCATCAATCAATCAATCTCAACTCCTGCCCTGTTGCTGAGTGCGTCTTGACCCGCAACATGAGGCAGAAGACATGAGAGGCCGTAGGATAGATATTCACAGTTCGCAATGTCTGTGAGATGCCAAGTAAATGATCCAGACGTTTTCAACACCGTGTCATGTAAAAAGCTTGCAAGTCAGTGAATATGTCTTAACTCTAAACGAAAGAAAGTGGCAAAATATGCACTTACCTTTCAACCGTGGCAACTTTTATATGACTTACTTGGTAGACTGCATGCCTGAAGTTGCTCGTGGCGCTCGTAAGATAATTGAATTTCCTAAAGAGTAGGTTCATGTACTTAATGAACATTTCATGCACTAAAAGCTAGACCATTTTTTCAATGGAGGTATGTTTCATACACCTATGTCTCTCTAATAAGTGGAAATTTCTAAATCACATTTGTTTCAGGTAAGATCACATATATGTTCGTTGTTGTTGCATGTTGTTGCATACAAGTTGCATATAACACAACTTTAACCGTGAAAAATACCGGGAAGAGATGGATGGTGTAGTGTACTGGGAGAGACTGGCAGCCTAAACATGAAAAAAATCAATAACATCAATGAGAACAAAAAAAATCAATGAGAACAAGGACAAACTCATAATTATGGGGAATAATTCACAGGAACAGTAATTACGATGCGAAATTTTTCAAACAACGTAACAGAAAGAATCATGGAGCAGCAACGAACACACTGGAGATCATCTAAGGAGCAATGAACAACAGCTGAATGAGAACTGGAGCTGTTTTTTTTTTTTTTTTTTGAGATATATACAAGAGTTGTTACATTCTTGTACAGCCACTAGTACGCGTAGCGTTTCGGGCAGGTCCCTGGAATACGATCCCCTGCCGCGAAGAATCGTTTTTTCATCCAAGTACACATTTTACTGTTGCGTTAAACAGAGGCTACAGTTAAGGAATTGCGCCCAGTAAATCCTCCCCGGCCAGGATACGAAGCCTTGACATAGCGCTCGCGGAACGCCAGGCGAGTGTTAAACCCAACAAAGACAACTGAACTGGTGTGACCTGTCCTAGTACACGTCGCGTAGCCTAACGTGTATGAATACACTCTGGCTTCCTGTGCTCCGACACAATGAATTATTATTTTAATTTAGGTGTCGATTCCACAACAAAATAGTTTCCTAATAAAAAATTCAGTTTTCTATTTAGTCTTGTCATAGAAAACGATTATAAATGGATTTTCTCTAGGGCTAACTATAAATATTGCACGTACCCGGATAATTTAATTCATTGTGTCGGCCAGGGACAGGCAGCCAGTTTATACACACAGTACATGTTTGGCTTATATCGAGGTCGCCCTCAAAGATCGAACTACTGACCCCGCCTAGGATGCATCCCCGACAACAAGCCGACCACCTCCTGGGGACCTATTTACTTCTAGGTAAACAGACGCATTAGATGATAGGAAATGCGGCCAACTATTTTTGTCCCGCCCGGAAGGACTATTGCCCAACCACTTGGACGATCTGGGATTGAACGCCGACCTGCATGAAGCGAGACCGTCGCTCTACCATCCAGCCCCGAAGTTGTTTGAGGAGGCTGGATAAAAAAAAAAGAGACGTCAGCAAGTGGCTGACTTCAGCACTATACTCACCTAATTGTACTCACCTAATTGTGCTTGCGGGGGTTGAGCTTTGGCTCTTTGGTCCCGCCTCTCAACTGTCAATCAACAGGTGTACAGATTCCTGAGCCTACTGGGCTCTATACAGGACCTCAGTGCAGGAGGTGAGGACCTGGGGTGGACTCAACCGGGTTACCTGAGTATTCATTCGACATGTCGAGCTGATCGCGTTTACGGGTTATTCATGCCCGTGCCACCTCTTGGGTGGCTTAATCTTTATCAATCATCAATCAATCTGTTCCCGTCTCGCCCCACACTCGTCAGTGGCCAGCCGACGTTCCGTGGTGCTCTGAGTGGGTATCTTAGTGAGTATGTGTGTGTGACTAACATTTTCAGCACCGCTCCTGTGCCAGGTAAGTCCACTACGGGCTCACCATAGCCCGTGCTACTTGCCCCACTCCTGTGCCTGGTAAGCAACGGGCTCACCATAGCCCGTGCTACTTGCCCCACTCCTGTGCCTGGTAAGCAACGGGCTCACCATAGCCCGTGCTACTTGGAACTCGTTCCGAGTAGCTGAATCTATAACAACAACTAACATTTTGACTGGTGACTTGTGAGAGAGATAAGGTAGGTCTCCGGAGACTGCGGATTTAGAGATAGGGTGCATTAGGATTAAGGATGTAATAGGGTGCATTAGGATTAAGGGTGCGATAGGGTGCATTAGGATTAAGGATGTGATAGGGGGCATTAGGATTAAGGATGTAATAGGGTGCATTAGGATTAAGGGTGCGATAGGGTGCATTAGGATTAAGGGTGCGATAGGGTGCATTAGGATTAAGGATGTGATAGGAGGCATTAGGATTAAGGATGTGATAGGGTGCATTAGGATTAAGGGTGTGATAGGGGGCATTAGGATTAAGGATGTGATAGGGGGCATTAGGATTAAGGGTGTGATAGGGTGCATTAGGATTAAGGATGTGATAGGGGGCATTAGGATTAAGGATGTGATAGGGTGCATTAGGATTAAGGGTGTGATAGGGGGCATTAGGATTTTGGGTGTGATAGGGTGCATTAGGATTAAGGGTGTGATAGGGGGCATTAGGATTAAGGGTGTGATAGGGGGCATTAGGATTAAGGATGTGATAGGGTGCATTAGGATTAAGGGTGTGATAGGGGGCATTAGGATTAAGGGTGTGATAGGGGGCATTAGGATTAAGGGTGTGATAGGGTGCATTACGATTAAGGGTGTGATAGGGTGCATTAGGATTAAGGGTGTGATAGGGTGCATTAGGATTAAGGATCCTTATAAATATTTCACGAAAAAAAACTTGAAAACTTTATTTCTCTTAGAGTACAATTGTGTAATTATAAATTAATCGTCCTCTTTCAGAATACGTCTTCAATTAACAAAAAATAAGTGCGCCATATTTCCATTATTATAATCATTCAATAAACTGTGTAGATTCCCTGTTTTATATAATCACGCAAACGTTAAAAATCATCGTTTTTCTCTATATTTAATTCTCTTATTGTGGCAAAAACCGAATTGAGAAGCATCGCGCCCACTATTTTCCCCATTTAATCTTCCCCTTTTGTGCGATATAAATTGTCAAAAATTTTGCGGACGCCGTCGTCGAATTCAGCTGCACGCGTCCCTCTGGAGTTTATGGCGTGGCTGCCCCTGGCTTGCATCGCGAAGATCTCCATTTAAGATGCTTTATCCAATCAACTCGGGTTTGCAACACACGTAAAAGAGGTTGTTCTCCAGGAAATGTCCGCGACATGAGCCGACAACAGACTAGAGCTCATGCTGCCACATCCAGTCCTCTCGGTTCTTGGAGATGGGCGACCAGTCGTTCTCTGGAAAGAACTCCGGGATTGGGAGGAAGACGTTGAGAAGGACCCCGGAGGTAACAAGGACTAGGAAGAGCACCAGGGAGGTCCACCAGCAGTACGTCTCCCATCTCTCCTTGTGGAGGTTCCTGAGGACCACGACCCCCACCAGGAGCCCGGCCATAGCCCCTGCCAGGTGCGCCATGTGGCCAGTCTGCGGGTGGAAAAGGGAATTAGAATGATTGCCCGAAACGCTATGCGTACTAGTGGCTTTAGGTATTGTGTGTACTTTCTCTTTAAAGTACAACATTAGAAAGTATAACATCTTTAAATTCAACATTATGTATGTACCTTTCTTGAGGTTATCTTGAGATGATTTCGGGGCTTTTTAGTGTCCCCGCGGCCCGGTCCTAGACCAGGGCCTCCACCCCCAGGAAGCAGCCCGTAACAGCTGACTAACACCCAGGTACCTATTTTACTGCTAGGTAACAGGGGCATAGGGTGAAAGAAACTCTGCCCATTGTTTCTCGCCGGCGCCTGGGATTGAACCCAGGACCACAGGATCACAAGTCCAGCGTGCTGTCCGCTCGGCCGACCGGCTCCCTCAAACCCTCCCTCACCTTTGCCTGAATAAAAAATCTAAATCTAAATCTAAATCTAAATCTATAAATCACAGTTGAAGGTCTATGTGTGTCTGATCCAGGCGGTCAACAATCTCATGTGTGATAGTGATGGCCTATAATGTTTTCACTGTTTAATATTATCACTATTTCTCTCTCAAATATCCTTCGTAATATTTCCATATTTCACAAGAAATGGCGTTACATATATTTGAATTTTTATCACATATTTATATGAAAAAGAAAATTAGTATTTTTCTTTCAACAAACTTTGAAGTGCATTGAAGTGAAATCATGTCAGGTCATCCATCAGGAGCGCAAGCAGGCAGGCACAATATAAAATACCTTTGGAGTGATCTTGTAATCATTTTCAATGCCAACGAAGAAGAACCTTGCCGTAACTGACAACAGCGTTTGAGCACAGGGTTTTTTCTCTAACAAAATTGACAAGGAATCATCATGATTCTGAACACGGCAAATGTCACAATAGACCTCAGGACATAGAGCTGTGAAGCACAAGTAGGCATGTCCGAGGAAGGGAACTATCGGGGGGAAAGCGTCAAGCCATTACGACTATATAGCACTGGGAAAGGGGTCAGGATAAGGATTTGGGATGGGACGGGGAGGTAAGGAATGGTGTCCAATCACTTGGGCGCCCGGAGGATTGAACACCGACCTGCATAAAGCGAGACCGTCGCTCTACCGTCCAGCCCAAGGAAGAGGAAGGGAATTGTCAGGAAAGCGCCAAGCCATGACGACTATATAGCACTGGAAAGGGGTCAGGATAAGGATTTGGGATGGGACGGGGAGGTAAGGAATGGTGCCCAATCACTTGAACGACCGGGGGATTGAACACCGACCTGCATGAAGCGAGACCGTCGCTCTACCGTCCAACCCAAGTGGTTGGGCACCATTCCTACCCCTCGTCCCACGCCCGAGAAACACTCACACTGGTATTGGGATTGGTGGTAGTGTCCCATACAGCGTATCCCAGGTCGAGGCTCATCACTACCAGAATCACAGTCAGCTGGATCCAAGGGACCTCCATCTCTGACCAATTCTGTAGGAGAGAGAAAAGGAAGCTGAAACTAATGGTAGAGACGTTTAACGTTAATGTTCCAGTGGTTATTAATTAATGTTTCATTATCCAGACCCATAAATATATTTAGTAATATTATAACCCAGAAAATATATTTAGCCAAGCCGGACCCCGTTTGGTCTCGAGGTCCGGCTTGGTCCGGGTTATATTTTCCTTATATGTGAGAATTCACTTTAACAAATACACCTAATACCGAAAAAAATACCGAAATACACCTAATACCGAAAAAAATACCGAAATACACCTAATACCGAAAAAAGAGGATATTAACTAAGACATCAATACAAATACACTACAACTGTAAGGTTAGGTTAGGTTAGGTTAGGTTAGGTTAGGTTAGGTTAAAGGATAATATTACAAAATATATCCATCACAATCACAAAGATATCAGAAAAGGCCTATGGGGGTCTATGGATAGAGGAAAGATTAAATGGGGAAAATAGTGGGCGCGATGCTCCTCAATTCCATTCTTGCCCCATTAAAAGAATTAGATACAAAGGGAAAAACGATGATTTTAACGTTTGCGTGATTATATAAACCAGGGAATCTACACAATTGAATGAATGATTATAATAATGGAAATTATGGCTCATTTAAAATAAAATTAAGGAAAAATATAACCTCCAAAAATATATCTTTCACGATAAACAGATAAGACAATTCAACGGAAAGCCAAAATATTAGATGGACATATTGCTCAAGAAATAGATTAAATTATATACTAAACAAAACAAAATACTTCACCTCTAATACTCGTAAATGAGACATGTTAAGTCATGATGAACTTCAGTAAAAAAAAAAAATGCATAAGTGCGTAAATAATTAACTTTACCAATCATCCTTTAGCTATCATTGCTATCATTTAAGCTATCATGGATTAGCTATCATTGACTGTGTTCTTACGATATCAGTTATTTACTTTGTATAAATAATGAACACTTTTTTCCCCTGACGATGTGACAATACCTTACTCATTAATTCATATAATTTAGCTTATAATTAGTACCATAATCTACAGTGAAAATAAGCAAACGTGATTTGCAGTGATTTGTTTGTGCAGTATTCCGCCTTATAATGTTATTTTTTATAATGCAATGACCAGTGGCATTAATGTTCTACAGCTAATTAACGAACAGTGATCAGATAACGGCTGCGTTGATCATTATCCTCAGTATTGTGTTCGTCGTAATACAATTTCATTACAAAAGTCAGCAACAAGTGGATGGATTGTATGCTGTTGTGAAGCATACAATCCTGTATAATGTATACAGGCCATTATACAGCTTGTATAATGGCCTGCCTGACGGCACCCACGCCCTCTTAGCTAACACGTCTCATTATGTAGACGATGAGTCACAATAACGTGGCTAAAGTATGTTGACCAGACCACACACTAGAAGGTGAAGGGACGACGACGTTTCGGTCCGTCCTGGACCATTCTCAATCGACTTGAGAATGGTCCAGGACGGACCGAAACGTCGTCGTCCCTTCACCTTCTAGTGTGTGGTCTGGTCAACGTCTCGTTAGGTAGGTTAAGGTCCCCCCCCCCCCACCAACGTCCAGAATTGAAAGTACAATGAAAAATAGCGGGCTTACCAATATCCCCGTTTTCTATACTACAGTAATTAGGTTAGGTGGGGTGCATGGGTTGGTAAGTTTCTGTGTGTAGCTTTTAGCACTTTATATTTTGTACGTTGTGGCACATGAAGAAGCTGGCATGTCAGGAGAGACATGCAAGCTTCTTCAGGAGACATGAGGCAGTTAAGCTTAACATGTCTTCAAGCTCCAAATAAGGGAGGAGGGGGGGGGATAAGTTTAAATAGGGGAAGGAAGGAATTATCAGGGTCAAGCGCCAAGCCATTACGACTATATAGCACTAGGAAGGGGTTAGGATAAGGATTTGGGATGGGTCGGGGGAAAGGAATTGTGCCCAACCACTTGCACGGTCGGGGATTGAACGCCGACTTGTATGAAGCGAGACCGTCGCTCTACCGTCCAGCCCAAGTGGCTGGGCAAGGGAGGTATATACCTGGTTGATAGGGTTCTGAGAGTTCTTCTACTCCCCAAGCCCGGCCCGAGGCCAGTCTTGACTTGTGAGAGTTTGGTCCACTAAACTGTTACTTAAAATTTGGAATTACTTATTTCGAATTACTTGGAATTACATATAGACGGCGAGGGAACCTTTACGGGTTATTCATGCCCGTGCCACCTCTTGGGTAGCTTAATCTTCATCAATCAATCAATGGAACCTAACGGGGGCCCAACTGACCATCAAAAGATTGCCGAGGTGGGCGTACTCGACGGCATAGACGCCTCCCGACGCCCCACACAGTATGAAGGTCGGAGTATAGAGGGAGTGGGCCAGCGACCCGGCCACCACCCCTGCCAGGTAGATGACGGCCACCCGCCAGGTGTGGACCAGCTCCAGCAGCACCCCCAGCACCATCTGCACCGCCAGGTTGTTCACCAGGTGCACCCACCTGCAGGAGACACGATACACTCAATACACGTAGGGGGGGGGGCAGCGGTTCGAGTCTCCTATACAGGCTAGGTGAATGGCATGGCTCAATATACTCATTAAAATATGTTGCGATGTATATTCAGGTGGGTTGATCACACTCAGCTGTGACTCTCTACTCAGGTTTACTCAGCTGCAGGTATGGTAGATTATTATATTATACTACAGCATGGTGAGTGTACCGTGTTTACCCTGGGTGTAGCATATGTACCCTGGGTGTATTATGTATACTCTGTGTATAGAATGTGTACCCTAGGTATAGCATATGTTCTCTGGGTAAAGCAAGGGTATCCTGTTTATAGCATGTGTGTGTACCCTGGATATAATATATGCAGGGTACTGGATATAATATATGCAGGGTACATACTATACGCAGGGTACTGCGTATAGTATGTGTACCGCGTGTATACCCTTGGGTATGTGAGTCAATGATGGATACAACTGGCAACGTAATGGCGACGTATGAACAACGCTGCGAGGTACAGCGGACGTACCCTGAATGTATGAGAGGGTAGGAGACGTACCGCCAAGCTTCGTACCGTCTCCGTGGGTTGAATACTAACGGGGAGTAGGTGGGGGCAGGCTCGTTGCCTTGTATAGGCTCCTGCATGTCTATTACGTAATATATGAAGGTGGTGATCTGTGGGGAGAGAGAGCAATGGTTAAACCTACCTCTGTCTCTCTGTCTCTGTCTCTCTCTCTCTTCTCTCTCTCTCTCTCTCTCTCTCTCTCTCTCTCTCTCTCTCTCTCTCTCTCTCTCTCTCTCTCTCTCTCTCTCTCTCTCTCTCTCTCTCTCTCTCTCTCTCTCTCTCTCAGACGTATATCAGGCACAACAAGGAACTATTTGGAGGAAGTACCAACCCATTACGACTATATAGCACTGGGAAGGGGTCAGGATAAGGATGTGGGATGGGACGGAGGGAAGGAATGGTGCCCAACCACTTGGACGGTCGGGGGATTGAACGCCGACCTGCATGAAGCGAGACCGTCGCTCTACCGTCCAGCCCAAGTGCCAGGACACATCAAGAGACACACAGGACACGGAAGAGGCTGCAGTACGACCTCGGCCACAGTGATGAGAAGCATGAAGAGCGGCGGAGGACAGCATGAGCACTCCTCCAGGTACCGTCTCTTCGCCAAGGTACGCTCGCTACGAGGCAGTACCCCCAGCGCACCCCGCCGCAGTACCGTGCTGCCGCGGTACGCTGTCGTCGTGGTCGTCACCTGAGGGGGCAGGCGAGAGGTGAACGGAAGGGGGAGATGATTGGCATGGTGAGTGATTGGTGGTGATATATTGGCTAGGGATGGAAAGGTCTGATGGGTGCATGGATTTGGGAGGATAAAGGCTGGTTGGTAGCTGGTTGTGGACTGGTGGGGAGATTTGGTTAGGGAGGTTAAATAGGGGTTTCGTGGCGCGTTTGTTGGAGTAATACATTGTGGGTTTACAGTATTCCTTTCCCGTTAACCTTCAACGCCCTCACGACCCATCACCACAACATAATAAATATGTTAACCCAAATAAAATAAGAAATATGTGGAAAATGATGATAATTCTGGTTTTGACAAAGACTCTATAACTGATGAGATGATAAAGAGATCAAAATATATATTTATGTTTGATTTATATATATAAAGTAGCTTATATCCTCTCACACGTTGTGAAATCCTATATAAACAACTGATGCGACTCACAAATCTCAGGAATTCCTTGTACTCAATATAGCCGTCTCTGTTAGCGTCGGCTTCCTGCAGGGAGTCCTCACATTTCTCCAGCAGCTTGATCACCGTTATGTTGGGAAGGTCGTCGGCGGCCTTGGTCCTCAAGAGCCACTCCCGCAGCCTCCAGGGGTGGACCAGGTCGCTCTTGTAGTAGACGGAGTGAGGAAGACGCGTCCTGTCGTAGTCTGAAGGCAGGAGCCATAGCCAGTTGAAGTCTAGGTTGGACGGCGTTGTATGCATGTAGTTCACCAGTTCTACCCAGGCGCTGTACACGGCCTATAAGATGGAAGTGATTACATCAAAATCCTGTTAGATGACCAGACCACATACTAGAAGGTGAAGGGACGACGACGTTTCGGTCCGTCCTGGACCATTCTCAAGTGGATTGGGAATTCTCAAGTGCACAATCCACTTGAGAATGGTCCAGGACGGACCGAAACGTAGTCGTCCCTTCACCTTCTAGTGTGTGGTCTGGTCAACTTACTTTAGCCCCGTTATTGTGACTCATCGCCTGCATCCTGTTAGATTCTGTGTCGTTGTGTCCTAGATTAATAACAATGTAAACAAAATGCATTCAATTCATATTTCTTATGTTTTCAACGTCTAATCACTACAGACTTATATTAAGGTAAAGTAATGATCCCATTTTCATTGAAATTAGAGAAACAGCTTAAGCGTTAGAAAAATGAACAAGTTCTGATGAACACGCAAAGAGAATTGAATTGAAATTGAAATTGAAATAAGTTTATTGAGGTAAAATACACACAAAGGGATGATGTAGCTCAAGCTATTCTCACCCCGTTCAGTACATCGTGTTAATACATACATAGACACACATCACAAACAATAAACATATTACCAAACATTCTGAGAGATAAACATATACATTTCCTCCTTCACAAGTAGTATGGTAACAACAGTACCACGCAAAGAGTGTACAGTGGGATGACACAAGCAAAATGTATATGATAACTGTGGATTTTGTTAAATATGCTTGTGTACAAGCGGCTCATGAACTGATCCGATCGCTTAGGTAAATTCAGGTAAATCTTACCTCTTCGTCGAACGAGATGGTTAGGTCGTTAACGTCGAGTGCCACCCGCGCCAGGACTGCCCGCTCCCAGGAGGTGGCCGGTAGTGTTGTGTTGTACTGAGGTGGAGGAGGAGAGCAGACAGTCAGGCATAGTGGGGTGTTGAAGATGGCCGCCGCGTGACGTCTTAGACCCGTGCTGTGATCTGTTCTTGGTGCTCTGGGGACAGATTCACGAAGCAGTTATGCAAGCACTTACGAACCTGTACATCTTTTTCTCAATCGTTGGCGGCTTTGTTTACAATTATTAAACAGTTAATGAGCGCCGAAGCACCAGGAGGCTGTTTATAACAATAACAACAGTTGATTATGAAGTTTGCATGCTTGTAAACTGTTTAATAAATGTAAACAAAGTCGTCAAAGTTTTAGGAAAGATGTACACGTTCGTAAGTACTTGCGTAACTGCTTCGTGAATCTGGCCCCTGGGCGTGTACATTGGTACTAGGGGTGTTCAGACTACTGTTGTATGTATACACCATACTTAGTGACGTCCTGGGGTGTGTATGAGGCGGGGTGTATACACGATCTGGGGTGTATGTGCCGTGCTCTGTGTATTTTAGTATGTTTGGTAGTATATGTAGACACATATTATAACTAGTGTCACTTAAACGGGTCAAGGTTTGTCGCCCTACCAGGCTACACGGGTACCAGGCAACACGTGAGTACCAGGCAACACGGGAGTACCAGGCAACACGGGTACCAGGCAACACGGGAGTACCAGGCAACACGGGAGTACCAGGCAACACGGGTACCAGGCAACACGGGTACCAGGCAACACGGGAGTACCAGGCTACTTATAGCTCCTCCTCTCCAGTACTGCACGTGGGGTCACACAGCCACGTGGCGTCACACAGCCACGTGGCGTCACACAGCCACGTGGCATCACACAGCCACGTGGCGTCACACAGTCACGTGGCGTCACACAGTCACGTGGCGTCACACAGCGACGTGGCGTCACACAGCGACGTGGCGTCACACAGTCACGTGGCGTCACACAGTCACGTGGCGTCACACAGCCACGTGGCGTCACACAGCCACGTGGCGTCACACAGCCACGTGGCGTCACACAGTCACGTGGCGTCACACAGTCACGTGGCGTCACACAGCCACGTGGCGTCACACAGCCACGTGGCGTCACACAGCCACGTGGCGTCACACAGCCACGTGGCGTCACACAGTCACGTGGCGTCACACAGTCACGTGGCGTCACACAGTCACGTGGCGTCACACAGCCACGTGGCGTCACACAGCCACGTGGCGTCACACAGCCACGTGGCGTCACACAGCCACGTGGCGTCACACAGCCACGTGGCGTCACACAGCCACGTGGCGTCACACAGTCACGTGGCGTCACACAGTCACGTGGCGTCACACAGCGACGTGGCGTCACACAGCCACGTGGCGTCACACAGTCACGTGGCGTCACACAGCGACGTGGCGTCACACAGTCACGTGGCGTCACACAGTCACGTGGCGTCACACAGCCACGTGGCGTCACACAGCCACGTGGCGTCACACAGCCACGTGGCGTCACACAGTCACGTGGCGTCACACAGTCACGTGGCGTCACACAGCCACGTGGCGTCACACAGCCACGTGGCGTCACACAGTCACGTGGCGTCACACAGCCACGTGGGGTCACACAGCCACGTGGCGTCACACAGCCACCTGGCGTCACACAGCCACGTGGGGTCACACAGCCACGTGGCGTCACACAGCCACGTGGCGTCACACAGCCACGTGGCGTCACACAGCCACGTGGCGTCACAGTCACGTGGCGTCACACAGTCACGTGGCGTCACACAGCGACGTGGCGTCACACAGTCACGTGGCGTCACACAGCCACGTGGCGTCACACAGCCACGTGGCGTCACACAGCCACGTGGCGTCACACAGCCACGTGGCGTCACACAGTCACGTGGCGTCACACAGCCACGTGGGGTCACACAGCCACGTGGCGTCACACAGTCACGTGGCGTCACACAGCGACGTGGCGTCACACAGCCACGTGGCGTCACACAGCCACGTGGGGTCACACAGTCACGTGGCGTCACACAGCCACGTGGCGTCACACAGCCACGTGGGGTCACACAGCCACGTGGGGTCACACAGTCACGTGGCGTCACACAGCCACGTGGCGTCACACAGTCACGTGGCGTCACACAGTCACGTGGCGTCACACAGCCACGTGGGGTCACACAGTCACGTGGCGTCACACAGCCACGTGGCGTCACACAGCCACGTGGCGTCACACAGTCACGTGGCGTCACACAGCCACGTGGCGTCACACAGCCACGTGGCGTCACACAGCCACGTGGCGTCACACAGCCACGTGGGGTCACACAGTCACGTGGCGTCACACAGCCACGTGGCGTCACACAGTCACGTGGAGTCACACAGTCACGTGGCGTCACACAGCCAAGTGGCGTCACACAGTCACGTGGCGTCACACAGCCACGTGGCGTCACACAGCCACGTGGCGTCACACAGCCACGTGGCGTCACACAGCGACGTGGCGTCACACAGCCACGTGGCGTCACACAGCCACGTGGGGTCACACAGCCACGTGGCGTCACACAGCCACGTGGCGTCACACAGCCACGTGGCGTCACACAGTCACGTGGCGTCACACAGTCACGTGACGTCACACAGCGACGTGGCGTCACACGTGTGGCGTCACACAGCCACGTGGGGTCACACAGTCACGTGGCGTCACACAGTCACGTGGGGTCACACAGTCACGTGGCGTCACACAGCCACGTGGCGTCACACAGCCACGTGGCGTCACACAGTCACGTGGCGTCACACAGCCACGTGGCGTCACACAGCCACGTGGCGTCACACAGCCACGTGGCGTCACACAGCCACGTGGAGTCACACAGTCACGTGGCGTCACACAGCCACGTGGCGTCACACAGTCACGTGGCGTCACACAGTCACGTGGCGTCACACAGCCAAGTGGCGTCACACAGCCACGTGGCGTCACACAGCCACGTGGCGTCACACAGCCACGTGGCGTCACACAGTCACGTGGCGTCACACAGCGACGTGGCGTCACACAGCCACGTGGGGTCACACAGTCACGTGGCGTCACACAGCCACGTGGGGTCACACAGTCACGTGGCGTCACACAGCCACGTGGCGTCACACAGCCACGTGGGGTCACACAGCCACGTGGGGTCACACAGTCACGTGGCGTCACACAGCCACGTGGCGTCACACAGTCACGTGGCGTCACACAGTCACGTGGCGTCACACAGCCACGTGGGGTCACACAGTCACGTGGCGTCACACAGCCACGTGGCGTCACACAGCCACGTGGCGTCACACAGTCACGTGGCGTCACACAGCCACGTGGCGTCACACAGCCACGTGGCGTCACACAGCCACGTGGCGTCACACAGCCACGTGGGGTCACACAGTCACGTGGCGTCACACAGCCACGTGGCGTCACACAGTCACGTGGCGTCACACAGTCACGTGGCGTCACACAGCCAAGTGGCGTCACACAGTCACGTGGCGTCACACAGCCACGTGGCGTCACACAGCCACGTGGCGTCACACAGCCACGTGGCGTCACACAGCCACGTGGCGTCACACAGCCACGTGGGGTCACACAGCCACGTGGCGTCACACAGCCACGTGGCGTCACACAGTTACGTGGCGTCACACAGTCACGTGGCGTCACACAGCGACGTGGCGTCACACAGCGACGTGGCGTCACACGTGTGGCGTCACACAGCCACGTGGGGTCACACAGTCACGTGGCGTCACAGAGTCACGTGGGGTCACACAGTCACGTGGCGTCACACAGCCACGTGGCGTCACACAGTCACGTGGCGTCACACAGCCACGTGGCGTCACACAGCCACGTGGCGTCACACAGCCACGTGGCGTCACACAGCCACGTGGGGTCACACAGTCACGTGGCGTCACACAGCCACGTGGCGTCACACAGTCACGTGGCGTCACACAGTCACGTGGCGTCACACAGCCAAGTGGCGTCACACAGCCACGTGGCGTCACACAGCCACGTGGCGTCACACAGCGACGTGGCGTCACACAGCGACGTGGCGTCACACAGCCACGTGGCGTCACACAGCCACGTGGGGTCACAACCACGTGGCGTCACACAACCACGTGGCGTCACACAGCCACGTGGCGTCACACAGTCACGTGGCGTCACACAGTCACGTGGCGTCACACAGCCACGTGCCGTCACACAGCCACGTGGCGTCACACAGCCACGTGGGGTCACACAGTCACGTGGCGTCACACAGTCACGTGGGGTCACACAGCCACGTGGCGTCACACAGTCACGTGGCGTCACACAGCCTCGTGGCGTCACACAGTCACGTGGCGTCACACAGTCACGTGGCGTCACACAGCGACGTGGCGTCACACAGCCACGTGGCGTCACACAGCGACGTGGCGTCACACAGCCACGTGGCGTCACACAGCCACGTGGCGTCACACAGCCACGTGGCGTCACACAGCCACGTGGCGTCACACAGCCACGTGGCGTATAACAACACACACGTGGCAGGAGTCAACCTACACTGTTCAGTGTTTCCAGTACTAACAACAACAAACCCTTCGCAACCAAGCAAGCATCGAACTCTGTACACAGTTGAGAGGCGGGCCCAAAGAGCCAGAGCTCAACCCCCGCAAGCACAACTAGATGAATACAATGCCAACATGGCAAATAATGACTGCTCAGTTCAGAACGGAATTAAAATCCATTTCTTGGGTATAGTGGATTGAGTTCGTTAGAACTATAGAATTGGGCACTCAACTATAGAATTGGGCACTCAAATGAAATGGGCATTTATGAAGGAATTTATGAGTATTTGTAATAATGAAAAAAAAAGATTACAAATAATAAATACAGGTTTTTCTAAACCTTTATTTTGGAATAAACTGAAAAATATTTACTACTGTAAGGCTGCTGGTTTGAGATTGTTTGTCGGCCTGGTGGGCACGGCCTGGTGGGCACGGCCTGGTGGGCACGCCCTCCTGGGCACGGCCTGGAGAGCATGCCCTCCTGGGCACGGCCTGGAGAGCATGCCCTCCTGGGCACGGCCTGGAGAGCATGCCCTCCTGGGCACGGCCTGGAGAGCATGCCCTCCTGGGCACGGCCTGGAGAGCATGCCCTCCTGGGCACGGCCTGGAGAGCATGCCCTCCTGGGCACGGCCTGGTTAGCACGTTCTCAACGGACCAGTTGGATTCAACGTTGAATTCAACGACGTAAACGTTTCTTTCACATTACTCGACCCTGTTTTGCCCACTAGGGGTCTGAGTTTTGTTTTATAAAGCTTTCTTATTATTTATATATTTCAAAATGACTTTATTAAATGTCACTCAAATAGTGAATATTTTTTTTAACATTTTGTATGTAGAAGAAAGTAGTATGTAGTTTCTTAAATATACAAGCCTGAGAGTCTTAGACTGTTGCAGTCAGCAACCAGCTGTAGCTGTATACAATTTGTTAACTTTATTCCATAATTGTATGTTTTTTCACGCTTTGAATTGTCCCTTTTTCATCAAATTTGTATTACATTATCATGTCACTTACTCATATATACCGATAATCAGCGCTCAACACCTTTGAGAATTCATGAATGGTTTGTTCTTTATTGAGCACAAAGTGAGCGCGGAGCTCCCGGTGTTGTCGTGTTTGTGCTCAATTCCGGGGCTCTCGATATATCTTGTTATTCCAAGCCTTGAAGCTCAATAGTACATATAGCTACTGTGGTACGAACGTACAAAACGCGGACTGTTGTATTCAAAGAAGAAAATTTCACATTTTGTACTATTAGAATTCAAAAATGCCATAACTTAAGTTGAAACAAACTAGTCATAAGCCTAACTTGTCCTAGGCCTAACGTAATTGTACAAAATGTGGACTTTCTTGGATATTTTGAGCATCACATCCATAGTCGCTATAGGTACTGTCATGTTTGGATAGCAGGCTGTGTTGTTTCAAGCTAGTAGTGTTTTCATTAAATACTGTCAACTTGAATACATCATGACACACATTGTATTTAATACAATAATGTATTATTTACATAAAACATCACTGTTCCCAGTGATGTCATTGCAAGAGGTTCGTATGACCCTAAAATATAGTTTGTTGATCATAAGAACACAAGAATAAAGAAGAACTGCTCTGCAAGAACTGCAAAAAGCCTATTGGCCCATACGCGGCAGCTCCTATTTATAACCACCCATAGCCTAGCATTATCTAATAGGTGGGAATTGGTGAGAAACCACATTATACTTGGGGGGGGGGGGGAAAGGGAGACATATATATGATTATAAATTTAAAAAACTATTAAGAGTTCAAACCTTTCACGTTTACAATCGCTTAGCCTAGCCCCCCATTCTCATTTATTCTCATAGTTAGTCACCCCTCTAAGTTATTCTATAGCCCTCTCATCTCTTCTCATAAGTATTAACCCCTCTTATCTCTTCTCATAGCAAGTCACCCTCTCATGTATTTTCTTAATTAGTTACCCTCTCATTTACTTTCATAGTCACTTTCTTCCCCATTCATATCTTCCCCAGTCATATCTCCACCATTCATCTAGTTAGCTACCTATTCACCTACTCATCCACACACAATCACCCATGTAAGCCATATACCTCACCATCAATTACCTGCCTGCCCATATCAAAATTGAATTTTCTTTATTATTATAAAAACATAATAATAAATGCCCAGAAGAGCTTCGCTCCGCCCACCCACCTCCCCTAATGTGGACGCAACATCGCCAAACATACAAAGTCCTTAAACTGCGCATACTCGACGAAGCCACTCTTCTTGACGTCAGCTCTCCCCAAGAGACTGAGGGCTTGGGCGATGGCCTGCGTGTTGTTGGTGGTCCTGGAGACGCGGTTCTCCAAGTCAGAGAGGTTGATCCTGCCTCTTCCATCGTCCAGGCGGTACCACACATCCTTCCAGTCCAGGCTCTCTTGCCCGGGGGCTTCAGACGTCAGCGCGTTCTGGAACCAGATGATAATGTCAGTGTTGTGTGTCAGGAGGGAAGGAATGGGGAGGAGAGGAGGAGGAGGGACGAATGGGGTAGGACTAGAGGGGAGAGGGAAGAGAGGTAACCTGGGAAACCTCCCAGGTTACCCAGACTGGAAGGAGTCTGGGTAACCTTGGACTTGTGATAGGGACGAGTGCAGTCTAAGACACAGAAAAGTCTAAATGTTGGTTTCATATAACATTGTGTTTTTCATTAGACGAAGGAATGTTTTACAATAAAAATACAACATAATTTCAATCCCCAACCACCAAAAAAATGCTTTTTCTATTTTACAACCCTGAACGTTATCTAACCAATTTGTGTCGTAATTCAGAGTTCATCTGTATCTGTCGTTTAACAATGATGAAAGCCAGTTAAAACAGATAATAAATCGACGCCTTGAAACCGGTTTATATGTTCATCAAAATAAACATTGGCATAACATTTATAACTGTGTGGAAGACTATCAATATGGAAAACAAAAACATTCCCGAATTGTTATCAACAAAATAAAATTAAAACATATCCAATAAAACCAGTTTTTATTATTATTATTATTATTTTTTATAATGCTAGCCAGCATATATATTCATTTTCTTCTGTCCTCCATGGACAGGGTTAGAGATCTGTTAAATATATAGTTCAGTGATTTATTGAACAATCAACCACAGAAGGTGATTGCAGAGCTTTTAAAATGTTAATCTAACCTCCATACATAAATACACATTAATGAACACTTAAACAATGTTCAAGAACAAGTGTTGTTGAGCACTTACCAAATGCCTGTGTGGACTAAGTGGCACTTCTTCCCAGGGATTTCTCATCTTGGGTCACTGTATCGTCGAGGATTCTAAAGCCCCAAATGGATGTGTGTCTTTCTGTTTGGTTTCATATGTTAGCTTCTTTCTTGTTATTTGTCTCATAAATCCTCTTCCTTGGTCTCAGTCGTCTCCGGAGGACCATCCATATGTGTATTCCTCAGGCCTGTCTCAGAGCCATTATTGTTTGTTTCTTGAGCCTCGTAGCACTACTTCCAGGGGCACTGTTTCGTTAT